AGATATATATAAAAGTGTCAGACCTTCCGGAACATTTTCAAAAGTTAAGTTGAAAAAGTTAATTTTTTGTGAAAAAGTTCTCATTTTAAATCCCCCCCTGTGGGCAGAAAAAAGGTCAAATTTACAAAAAAATCATACCAAATAATAGGTAAAGACATCAAGCATCTATATAAAAAAAATTTATATTGATATGTTCATTTTTGAAAAAGTTACGGCAGTTTTTAGTAAAAAAAATTGAAAAAATTTCGAAAATTAGCGATTTTTAAATTTGTAATTNAAAAAAAATTAGCGATTTTTAAATTTGTAATTTTTTTGGAGGTTTCCCCCATTTACGGGGAACGAGGGAAATTTTTTCAATTTTGAAGGGTAATGTCTTCGACTAGATACGATTTGTGATCTTTTGACGTATCGTTGAAAGAAATCCGTTCGGTGAGAGCTGAGAATAAGTGGTAACAGACACAAAAAAAAAAAAAAAAAACATCATAGTAAAACCAATACCTTCTCTGCGTCGCATGGAAGCTAAAAACGCTATTCTGGGAAAATTACTTAGCGTGCTCGGATTTTCAAAATTTTTTCTTACAACGAAAGTACTCGGTCACCAGACTCCGGGAAAATTATTGGCAAAGGTCGGAAAATTTTTGCCGCTCGCCCGAGAGCATTTTAAAATTTTGACCGTTTTCGAGAAAAACGCTCGCTGACGCCAGCGTTTTACGACTTAAGGATTGAAATTTTCATCAGACCCGCCCAATGACATTCCTGAGATATGATAAAAAAATCAATTCAATCCGTTTATTTTTGACCGTTTTACGAGGTTTTTTTTTTCATGCGCTCGAGACGCCAGGGCGCGCCGCCCGAAATTCTTGTGACACTTTACGACATGAAAACGATTTTTTTTACGATTCGCAATCATATCACGGCGTTCTGTACGTGCCGAGGAAGCGACAAAAATCGGAAAATCCCAGATCCGACAAAAACTCTGGCCGCTACGAGCGTTTGAAATTCATCAAATTTTAACGGAAAATGACGATTTTTCTGTTTGCTAATAATACACATGTACGCGTCCTATTATATCTTATTATATAATAGAACAAGGAAAAAAACGCTTTTCTGGGAAAATTACTTAGCGTGCTCGGATTTTCAAAATTTTTTTTTTCAACGAAAGTACTCGGTCACCAGACTCCGGGAAAATTATTGGCGAAGGTCGGAAAATTTTTGCCGCTCGCCCGCGAGCGTTTTAAAATTTCGACCGTTTTCGAGAAAAACGCTCGCTGACGCCAGCGTTTTACGACTTAAGGTTTGAAATTTTCATCAGACCCGCCCAATGACATTCCTGAGATATGATAAAAAAATCAATTCAATCCGTTCATTTTTCACCGTTTTACGAGCTTTTTTTTTTTCATGCGCCCGAGACGCCAGGGCGCGCCGCCCGAAATTCTTGCGACACTTTACGACATGAAAACGATTTTTTTTACGATTTGCAATCATACCACGGCGTTCTGTACGTGCCAAGGAAGCGCCAAAAATCGGAAAATCCCAGATCCGACAAAAACTTTGGCCGCTACGAGCGTTTGAAATTCATCAAATTTTAACGGAAAATGACGATTTTTCTGTTTGCTAATAATACACATGTACGCGTCCTATTATATCTTATTATATAATAGAACAAGGAAAAAAACGCTTTTCTGGGAAAATTACTTAGCGTGCTCGGATTTTCAAAATTTTTTTTTTCAACGAAAGTACTCGGTCACCAGACTCCGGGAAAATTATTGGCGAAGGTCGGAAAATTTTTGCCGCTCGCCCGCGAGCGTTTTAAAATTTCGACCGTTTTCGAGAAAAACGCTCGCTGACGCCAGCGTTTTACGACTTAAGGATTGAAATTTTCATCAGACCCGCCCAATGACATTCCTGAGATATGATAAAAAAATCAATTCAATCCGTTCATTTTTCATCGTTATACGAGCTTTTTTTTTTTTTTTTTATTATTAGATACATGAAATAATAAAAAAATTACCTAATAATATGACTCTAAAATATTTAGGTGTACTCCTAAGGTATCTTTAAATACCATGCTATTAGTAGACTTGTATACTTGCATAAAATTTAAACAATATTGACATGCGCAAATCAAAATAATATTCTACTAAAAACTATGCGCGTGGATTTTTTTGAAAATAAATTTTCTCATCTTCGCGAATAATTTTCCTAGAATAACTTCGTCGAGCTCTTTCATTAAAAAAAAATGCTTGAAGACCGTACGTCGTTAAGTAATTTTTCCAGCATTGTTTAATTTTTCAATATTGTATAATATAATAAGATATATATATATACTACTATGTATTTCAGTTATTCAATTTAACTACAACCAAACTAAAAAATTGTTTTTATTATAGATTAAATTTTAATTTATAAACATAAGATAATCAATCAATATTTTTTTTACATTTTTAGTAATGTATTTTATACAAAACGATACGATTCCCGTTAAAAATCTTGGAGATAACTTGCCAGCACAAGAACCAAAATTATCTACTTTGGGGCCATCAGTATTGAGTACGGATCAAAAAATGTATCCTGAAACATCATGTGAATATAGAAATACAAATCATAATTTAGGAAAACGTGTGTATGGTAGAGCCAGAGCTTCATTAAATTATAGCTCTTTTTATATATTTTGTGAAGATTTTCGCAAACAAGTCGATTTTTTATATTCAAATAAAACAGAAATATATCGAAAAAACTTGTAAGTACATAATTTATGTTTAATTTTGATTTGTAAGGTGATTTATTTCCTTTTAGTGCCATAACTAGCATATTTAAGGAATTAGACCCACGAGTTAAAAAATAAGATATCTTAAAGTATGAAATTACTTGTAATGATTCAATGCACAAATGATAATTGCACGCATACTTTTAAGCTTATTAAATCGTTATGGCATTATAAAGTATTTTCAAGTAACTCTTATACATATTCATATATACATAAATTTACTACTTTGTAATGTCACTAAGATAAAAGTATATAAATATGTAACTACAAAATGTTTGGAAAATCCAAATTTCAAAAATAAAATTAAAATTTTGGATATTCAAGTGTTACCTTTCATTTATGTTCACTAGAAAAAGTATATGATAACGGCATAAGTTATTGGCTTAAGTACCAGTTTTTTGTTCATTTAAAGACGAATCAAAAGTGGGAAATGCACATATTTTTTACTCTTAAAATAGACTAAGATATATTTAATATAAAAAATGATTAAACTGGGGAATTTTTAATGACTGATGGTATTATTTCAAATTTATTTACATAAATTTTAAGAAATTTAAAAAAATTTTAAGTGCTTGGCATTAACTGTTCTTTATTTTATAGATTTGCATATTTTAAATTTTGTATATTGTTCAATCAGTAAAGAAACGGGTTTCTATTATTCTCATTGTTTGTAACAATTGACCTGTTTCTTTACTTACTAAACACTCAGTATACCTACTTTACTACATTAATGATGTTCAAGTTTTAGTCATTTACAATGCGATATGATTAAACCAGTAGATAGCGCTTTAAAAATAGTATTTTAATTTTAAGAAAAATAAGTTTTTGGACATTCTAACGTAAATCTACAAATTGCTAATCATCATACATGATAATTATAATATGTGTAAATATTATAATTAATAAGATATCATAATGTATAAAAAATCACTCTATAATAGTTCTTCTTACTATAAATATTAATACACTTAAAATTAAGGAAAATAATTAACATAACTTACTAGTTTTAGTTATTAAATTACTGAAGAGTAACAAATAGAAATATAGAAGATTAGCGCTATTCGATAAAATCATTTAAGGTACAGTTAAAAATTTGAAGTTGAGATTAGATGTGTTGGTATTTAAGAAACTCGTGTTTAAAATATTTGTCAGATGACATTTCAATATTCTTGTGTAAAGTATAAACATTTAAGAAAATACCTTTTCTACACATTATTATAATTTTAAACAAGTGTCTAATACAAAAATTCGTGTCTCTATTGAGTTTATATTAAAAGTTATCACAAAGAATAGTCACATAAATACATCAATTCTATAATAATTAAAGCTAAGTTAATAATTGAAAAAATTTTTAAAAATAGAAAATTTATTTTAAAAAATTTGTGACAAAAAACTTTATATTATTATTATAGTTAAATATTTTTTTTTCTTTAAAAATTATTGATTTTATTCTGTTTTTCTTATCATATTATTACTTGTAAAAAATACTTTAATCTATGAATTTAATTACTTATTGCTTTCCCATAATAAAAACTCAAATACGATCTGAGATATATCATTAAAAGTTTGACTTAAAATTTGTTTGTGTAATTCTTTATAATCTATAATAATACAGAAAATTCATAAAAAAATTTAAGAATAATTTATATTATGTAACATACAAGTTATAACTTGAAAAACATGGTTTTGTGATCAACAAGTATTTACAATTAATTGCTAATTAAACTAATATAATGTTTGTTTAGTAATATTAGGCTACAAGTTATGACTAAGTAGAAAAACTACAACCGCTGTTTTAGAGTTAAGAATTGAAATTAGGGGTGTGTTTCGTTTATTTAGTTCTTTCTATTGTAATATTGATGTATTATTACATTCTTATTATTGTAAAACAGTTAAATGTATTTATCAAACCATTAAGGCCATTTCAACTGATAAGATCGAAAGATTATATGGAGCCGTTTTATTTTTATACTCATTCACAAATATCAAAAGAACGTTCGCTTTTTAATGTACTCACTAAAGGATATTATTTAGCACTTGCATAAGTACAGTTTTTTAAATATTGTTGACATAACAATATATAAATACAATAGCATATTTTTGCTAATTATTATTTAACGACAACGATTAACATTTTGAGTTTAAAAGGTATAATGATTTAAGATGATGTATTATTAATAAGTGAAATAAAGTCTATTACTTTAACTTTTTTGAAGATGGATATTCAAAAATATGGTCAATTAAAAAATTAAAAAATAAATAAATATTGTAAGATTGCAATATCATTGCTTCGCATCGAAGCTAATAACTCATTTATAATTGTATTATGTGAGTGGATTGTATTATTTACATATTGAATGAAGGAATGTAACCAAAAGAGCATTACAGGAATTAATTCTTCTTCTTCTTCCTCCTCCTCGCCTTAATTTCAACTACTTGGAGTCGGCCACCCTTATCCTAAACTACCATTTGACAAGATCTCCCACATCATTTACGCTCACATCAGCTGTCCTCATATCGCGTTTAATAGCATCCCTCCATCTCTTTTTTGGTCTTCCTCTACCTCTTCTTCTTTCAACATTCATTTTTATAACTGATCTTACAGCTTCCGATTCTTCTCTCCTCATAACATGACCAAACCATCTAAGATTATTTTCTCTCATCTTATCCAAGTTTGACGCTACACCTATACTCCCTCTTATATGCTCGTTTCTTATTCTATCTTTTCTAGTCACTCCACTCATCCAACTAAGCATTCTCATCTCTGCTACACTTATTCTCTGCTCTACTTTCTTATTAACCGCCTAACACTATGAACCATACATTATGGCTGGCCTCACTACAGTCTTACTATTCAGCCTCATTGGATTTCTCTTATCGCATAAGACACCATACGCTTCTCTCCACTTCAACCACCCGCATTTAATCCTGTGTCTTACATCCTCATAAATACCACCGCTCTTNATAGAACTTACTATTCAGCCTCATTGGATTTCTCTTATCGTATAAGACACCATACGCTTCTCTCCACTTCAACCACCCGCATTTAATCCTGTGTCTTACATCCTCATAAATACCACCGCTCTTTTGCACAATTGATTCTAAATACTTAAAACTTTCCACCTCTCCAATCACATCCTTGCCTATTATCACTGGTCTGTTCATTTCACATATCTCGTGTTCTCCTTTATCAAACTCGTATTCTTTATACTCTGTCTTAATTCTACTTATTCTTGAATCCTTTTATTCAAGAACTGATCACCACATCTCTAGCCTTTGACTATAGAGACTATCACTATAGAGAATAAGTAAGGGCTTAAAGCAGAACCTTAGTGCACTTCTACTCTTATCCAAAAACCTTCTGATAACGCTTTTTACCCTGGTACAAGTGTCATCATACATATCTATTATAATAATATACCTTTTCGGGACTCCTTTTCTCATTAATGTCCTCTCTCGGTAGTCTATCATACGCTTTCTCAAAATCTATAAATACCATACACAGCTTTTTCTTTTTTACCCTACACTTTTCTATTAGTTGCCTCACACAAAATACTGGCTTCATTGTTGACTTACCAGGCATAAATCCAAACTGGTTTTTAGATACTGATGTCTCATTTCTTATTCTCTTATCTATTATTTTTTCCCAAATTTTCAAGTTTGCATGATAAATTTTTTATTACTTGTAAAATTTCTTCGACTATATATTAACAATAAATTTGTTAATTTTACTAAAGTTTTTTTTTAGTTTTTTACAGGATAGAAAAATAATTTTAAATTTTCTTTGTCTATGCTAATTTATACAAAACGAATATATAAATAGATATATATGGTATTCAGTAAGTAAGAAAACGAGTTTCTATTGTTCTTATTGCTTATAACAATGTACCTCTTTCCTTACTTACTTAACATTCTGTATAATCTATTCTATTTATAATCTAAATAGAATAGATTAGATACTTAAATCTACTTCAGGTTAAATATTTGGTATCCGTATAAATTGTCTTTAAAATTTCTTTAAGAAATGTATTATATTATAAAAGTAGAAAAAACACAATATAAGGGAGATCTATTTGAATAAGTTCCAATAAAAATTAATATCTGACAATCAATGCATCGACGCAAGTGCATATAAAAAATACTTGAAAAATAATAATTCGTAAATTTTAGCAGAAATGTTGCAAATTTTTCCTTATTGACCAATTACTGATAGAAAACAAGTTTTCAGAATGTTTTTTTTATTTTGTTGTATTTTTCAAAACTTTAATTAAACGTATTTTTAAAAGATACATACTATTCGGAACATTTTCAAAATTTGAAATGAAAAAAACTGTTTAAATGATGATATAAAATATCAAATTTATTTTGGAATTAAAGATAATTAATTAAACTAGAACTATATTATAAAATAACGAAGATAGGTAAAATAATTTGAAGGGGATTGATTTACCTCATTTGAAAAATTATTTTTATATAACAATACTTATAATAATTTGAAATGGCTAAATTCTCCGAAATTTACGTTTATGTTCTCAATTGAAAAATCCTGGATACTCCACTTAAATATTTAAGTTTGTAGATCAATATAAACAAGTTTTAACTTATTTCATAATCTACTCAAACTTATGAATATATTTCCTAGTAAACATAATTTTACATGAAAAATCTGTCTAAAACATATAATATTAGAATGTTTGCAGTACAAATGCAATAATTCTGTACCTCAAAAAAAGGTATTTCGGGATAGACAACTTCAAAATTTCATCTTCTCGAAATTGTTACATGGCGTGTTATTTTTTATTATTTATATTATGTGTTTTGTACAGTGGATTATGTATTTTTGAATAGATAATAAAAGACTATTCTGAATTATATCAAAATTTAAACATCATTAATTTCAATTAGTGGCCCTCTTATACTCATTGTGTGATCTTAAACTTACCAAATTTCTAAAAAGTAATATTGAATCTTAAAATTTTTGAATTTTCATCTCAGTTAAACAAATAGTCAAAATCAAAAAGAAGTAATAAATTAGATAAGCTCTTTCTAAAAGCGAGGGAAGTTATTTCATAATAATCGTTTTTTTCTATGTTTAGAATATGCATGTATTTTTTTTTCCGGCTTATTTATGCCCATTGCTGCTTTCGCTATCTCTCTCCATGCTTCTCTGTGCTCTGTCAGCTCTTCTCATTTCAGAACTTCCAACATCCTGAGGTCTCACTTGCCTCGGTCCTCCCACAGTTGCCTACTCTTTCTTTCGGTCGAATTTATTCGGTTTCCATTTCATGATGGTCAATATAAGTTGTTCTTTTGCTCTCCAGATATGTCCAGCCTTTGTTATTCTCTAGCTCTTGAGTGTGACAGCTAGATTGGTATCGTTAAATAAAGTATGTAGTTCTCTGTTTGATCTTATTTCATAGCCCCTTCATCATTTCTCTTTTGTCCAAATATTCTTCGCAGAATTTTTCTTTGGAAGATCATTAATTTGTTTTCGTGAGATTTGGTAAACGCCCATGCTCCACAGACATACAGTACAATTTACTAATAAAGGTCTTATATAATCTTATTTTTGTCTTCTTGATCATTTTTTAGATTTAAATAATGGAACTAATGAATAATAGCATTTTTTGTCAGCTATAATTCTTCTGTGTATTCTTCGTGACTATCTGACTCCAATCTTTCCCGCTTCCTCACTTAAAATGTTGGTTGTTCTCTTTAGGCTATCCTCTGTCTTTGCTATTACAACTATGTCATCTGCGTATGCGGCCAATGCTATCTATTTACCTTATCCTATATTCAAACTTCGTGGACTCGCTTTGCAGTATTCTTCTAACTACCTATTTAACGTAATGTTAAATAAGACTGGAGACAGAACATCACCCTGTTATCCCTGTATTCAATGTAAACTCCTCTAATATTTCTGAATTGAATTTCACTTTGCAAATTGTGTTTAGCATACATGCTTTCACTATCCTAACAAGTTTAACTAGTATTCTTAGTTGGATCATTACAATCCATAGCGTACTTCTTATCATCAAGCCGTAAGTTTGTTTAAAGTCTACAAATAGCTGGTACACATCTTTATCAAGTATAAGTATATATATATATCTAGTAGTAAAAAACTAATATCAGTCAAATTATATTTTCAATTACTAATTAATTTTAATTAATAAAATTATTATTTTCTAGGCTTAACTATATGTGGAAACATTTAAATCCTAAAGATAAACACAAGTATTACGAAACTGCTACAAAAGCTCGCTCAATGTATGTATTACCAGAAAACCCTTTTCCACAAGGTAAAGTAATTTTTTTTAATATTGTGACATCAAGTAAAATTAATTATAGACCCAAATTTATACTTATTAAAATTGTTAATGAGGTCACTACAGTGCCATCGCTTTTGATGATGAATATTTTTTTATTCGACTATGGAAATATAACTATAATAATGTCTATTAATATATATATATATATTAAATTATAGTACATACAAAAGGTACATAATAATAAAAGCATATCATTATATTATAATAATTGTGAAACATACTATTCAGTTATAATATGCTTAGAGGTTTTATAAAAATTTTATAGGTTAGTTACTGAAATAATATTTATATTATTATTATATTTTAACATTGAAACATGACAGTTCTTTTAATTTAATATTATGTAATAAATTATTATCATATTTATAAATATTATTACTACGATAATATTAGTATTTCAGTAGCAAACCTATAAAATTTTTATGAAACATAGCGTATCTGAACTGAATAATATGTTACACATCAGTATATTAAACATTTTTTGTTTAATTCCAACATACGAAAGGGAAACTGAGAATTAATGGAATTTTAAATTAGTAAAAAGTTTTTTTTATATACTTAACTTGCAAAGTAAAAACTCAACACTGCTAGACTACTTGACAAGATAGTTTTAACTCTTCATACTTCGTTGACTTTCTGAGTTGTAGTCACATCACAAAAAAATTATAATCATGAGTAATTACATCTGTTATAAGTACACTATAAATATAAAAAAATAAATAATTTAATTATTATTAAATAATAATTGTGTTATTACGATGTCACTAGCATATCTATAAAAATTTTATAATTATATGTTCTGTAGCCTAAACTCAAAATATTCCTCTGATTTCTATTATAGAATAATAAAAGTTTCATTTATTATTCATGAACTTCTGCGGAGGTTTACAATCTATTTGATAACTAAAAATGTTTAAAAATTTAATATTATTAACCATAACTTGTTACTTATATATTTAAATTTCAAAAACGTAGTTTAACTTATAAAAACCTATATTTCCGTAATTATATTCATGTTTTGCATAAGATAATATAATAGATTATTTTAGATAAAAAATTATAATCATCTTTTAACACTAAAGTCACTTGTGTTGTGTTGGATGTGTCAGACTATTAAATTCTCAAATTAATTCGATATACCATATAATTTAAAATATAATTTTTGTAACTATTTAGAAAGATTGGGTTGGGTTGTACTTATTCGATACAAAATTAGAAATAAAAATTTCTGTATTGATACTCCTCAACTCGTTATTTGTTTTTGTAATATTTTTTTTTTTTTGATATGACATATACTATCAAAAATTCAAATTTTATTTTATTATTCAAGTTATATTTTAAATTTGAATTGCATAAAATATATGAATTTAGTTGTAAAATTTTGAAACTAACCAAAACTGTAGTTTTTATTTTATGCATTTTATTATAATCACTTGCATACTGTGTGATTTATTAAAAATACTACTCCATGGTTTTTTGTTAAATAATTATTTTTTTCATAAAAGTGTACAAATTTAAATTGAATTAATTTTTATGAACTACAGTAAATATCAAATTTATTGAAAGAAAAAATATTTATAAGGCTAGTTTTTAAGGGTAATATTCGAAAAATAAATAGGAAACTATTGTTGTTTTTTTTACTAATAAATGGAAAATGGTTCAAATAAAATTTTGACTGATCAATAACCAGTTTTGTATCATTATTTTTTGAGATATTAGATTTTTAAGGTTTAGAAAATGTGAAGAGGAGGTAAAGTTTAACAACACTATTTTTACCTTGATGCACAGATAAGAATTCTTCTAAGTTGCACATCCTTCTCATTAATAGCTAAATATTATATTAAATCAAACGCAGAAAATTACTTTTTTTTACACACTAATTCAATTATTTCATACAGATTTAATCATTTAGGCAAACACGATGACAATGTTATAAGCCTTCAAATTTTTTTTATTTATAATAATGTAAGCTCCACTGGTTAATTAACTTAAATTGTTCTAGCCACTCAAAACATTTTACCAATGTGGATTCATTCAATATAAGCTTGTGTAATTATTTGTTATACAATATGAAAAAAATTAATTTTTTCAAATCAATCAAGTATCAAAATAATGAAAAATGAGATTAAACGTTTAATAATTGTTGTAGCCTTCCAGCACTAGGCCAGACGGCCGTCCACTTTTCAGTCATAGGTATAACAATTATCGGCTCTCTGTGCTGCGCTGTTGCACAGAAAGCCAGTCCGTTACTGATAACAGAATTTTTCTTTTATCTCACCTTTATCCCAACTATTGGAATCTGATAAGAGACTTTGAAAATTAAAAAAATATAGAAGAAATGAATGATTTAAAGCCTAACTTAAAATTCAAACACTATTCAGTATCATCATATCTTACATGGACTAATACCTATAGTTTAGTTACCAACGAAATTTAGTAAAAGTGGGTAGTAAAAAAAAAGCATATATACATATTTTTTTTTATTTGAACGATAAATAGTTCAGTGCTAGTCTAAAATATTGGAAGAAGACTGAATAACGTAGTTCATCTCTCCTCTTATATTCACTTCAACCATGAAACCCTTTGTGAGAGATTCCACTGTCACAGTTGTCCACTCACACTCTTCTCTATGTATGTACTCGTACATACTATCAAAAATCCATACGGAATACTAGCGTGCGCCTATTTTTATATGTGTATGTGTATAGTACCCACCCACCTATTGCAAAGTTGGGTATACGTAAAGACGTGTCGACGGCGCCGCGGCGTCGTGCGGTCGAAAACCGATAGATTGGCCATAGCGATGGTGGCGGCAGTGTCGTCAGCAACGTTAGCGTAAGCGGCGTAGGTATTGATTCTGACAGCGGCGCGCGCGGACACCATCGGTAGGTCCGTTTTTCGCGCCTGTGTCGGCTGCCGGCGTCGGTGGCTGTGGTGGTCGCCGACCGAGTGCGTTTCGCTTCAACTTCTTGCCCGACTCACTTACCCTCCCACCCATTTCGTACGTCGTATCCGTTGTAACATTAACACGCGCCGCCGCAAAAAGACTTTGGCAAAAAGAAGTTATCACAGAAAGTAAGGGTGAGAGTGAACAATTTCCCTCCCCNTAAAAAGAAGTTATCACAGAAAGTAAGGGTGAGAGTGAACAATTTCCCTCCCCTTTATATTATCCCTACTCCTTATCCCGGTGTTCGATCAGCGTGCGCACACCCAACAATAACGCCGGCGACCAGCACGTGCGCGCGAAGCTTAATATACCTTTGGCTGTCGAAGACATAACTGCTTAACGCAATCAAAAGTATAGTATTGGATTTCAAAGACGACTTCATCATTTACAACTCGTTTAAATTGTCATTGTTTCTATTTTGTGACCTTATTGTTAATTATGACTTAGATTCTACATTTAGGTAGGTATTTTATGATAAATAGATATTTGTTATAAATAAATATTTATTTAAATAATTACATAAATAACATTTAATAGAACTTAGGTTTCATTAGTAAATTTATGGATAAATCTTTCAATTGGATAATAATAATTAATTTTTTTTATAAATATAAAACATTAAAATAAATGATAAAAATATATAATTGACACAAATGAAATACCCAAAATACTTTTAAAAACATTTACTTTCGAAATGTTAAACTAAAAACAGAATTTATAAATGTAATTTTAACAAATTTTATTTATTAACTATTATTTTTTATCTGCGTTTCTTAATTCATTTTAAAAGACCGTTATGATTATATTAAATCTGATTTGAAATTAATTTAAAGTTAATAAAAATGATAAAACTACAGCAGAATGAATAGTAAATAGAATTTTATAAATTATAATTTTATTTTTATTTTAATTAAATATGGATAAAAACTGTCTATGAACAATACGTATCATCTTATGTTAAATGAGTCCTAAGAATACTTGAAAAAAAGTAAACTATTGTTATTGCAACTACTATTTTTATACGTATTTGAAATTTTATATATTAAGCATTATTTTTAAATTTATTCCCGTGTTGGGTTTAATTAGTTAAAACCAAATAATATTGGTTTCTTTCCATTTTTTTTAATAATTGAGAATTTAATTTATAGAGAATGATCAAACTATCCATTCAATACAATCGGCTGAGTGCACTCAAACAGACGCAACAAAACAACAGAATAAACCCAGTGGTTCAGCAGTAATTGGGAAATTGGTCACTATAAAATTTTCAAAATCATGCAACAAACCAATTATTACACCTTTGGTAAGTGGATCAAATATTGTAACAATAATAAATGATAGAATGCCTTTAATACATTTTTATTAAATAAGGCTGAGGAATAGATATACAGGGTGTTCAGTAAGTCAGGAAACGGGTTTCTATTGTACTCATTGTTTGTAACAATGAGAACAATAGAACCCCGTTTCCTGACTTACTGAACACCCTGTAGATTATTTATAAGGGATAGGACTTGAATTTATGAACCCCGTCCCTTTCTTTTTAACAAAATTTTACAATAAAATATTCATAATGGTGAAATTGAATACCTAGAACTCCTCTTACCTACGCCCCTTAACAATGTATGAATTAAAAAATATTAATTCTGCTCCATTTCTTGGATTAATAATTTAATATATCTATAGAAAAACTCAAAAAAAAAAAAAACAAATATTCATAAAATAATGTTTAGATTGTTATTATTTAGATAAACCCTAATGCTCAAGATTATAAGAATATTGATTTATCGATATAATTATATCATGATGTGTAGGGTATTCTTATTATTGTTTATAAAATAAATAAGCTGTAGCAGAGGAATGTTGGAAGGTTAGTGAATTTTTCTCAAAGGGGTGTGTGTATTTGAATCAACAGGTGATTTTGCCGGTAATGTTACTATGATGGTAGGGATAAAGCTTGCGCAGTATTCATCGGTCGGTATTTCTCCCTGTTTGCACTAACCGCATACCACTATGCTATATGCAGTATAACTTTAAAGTAAGGATTAAATTATGTGATACCATGTCCTTTACAGCTGTTACTGAACAACAGGTAATCTCGTAATTTAACACGAACTTGAGATATAATTTAAAATATTAAATCAACTCTATTTACTATGATTCGATAGTTAATAATAATAATAAAACTAGATTTATAAATCAATAACAATTCAATCAATTTATAAATTTAAAATCATTGCCGGAATTTGAACGATATGGGGGCTAAGACATAAATATAAATTACAATAAACACTTTTTTAAACAAATATTTTATTTTACTTTATATCTAAGTGAACATCAAAATAAAAAATTAGTGTTCACTAATAATCGATCATTTCAAAATTACATTTAATTGAATAGTAAGAATTAGGATTAAAATCTTTTTTTTCAAGATAAATATTTTCGTCATTTGAAAACTTAAAATGTTAATTAAAATTTTATTTTTTATTTTTTAAATATTAATTATTAATTATATAAAATTGTAACATTTTATTCTAATTATGTGTAGCGAGGTATTTAATGAGATAATCTAACAATAATTTCAGTGATTATTATTACTCTATAATAAATAATATCTCTTCAATTGATATTTTGCTTACAATCCTCAAATTATTTAAATATAACCCCTTTTCATGTGTTTTTGTAATAATTACTGATTATTTAAATCAAATTTCTATTATTACCACTTTTACGGGAAGTTTGATTTCTTTTAATTGATCAAAATATTGGTTTTCTAGTATTTAATTTGATAATGGTTCTTAAAAATAATTTTAGATATAATTTTACCATATATGTGATAAATACTTTTATTAATGATAATTTTCATTATTACTATAAAGTGCAATTATTTAATTTTCTATTATTTGAATTTAAATTACGAATATTAAAAATCAAAAATTCGTTCCCGCTTTACCAAAAATACAGTAATTTAAATACATACTTAGACGAAATTAATTATTTTACTTCAAAGAATATACAAATGAATGAATGAATGATTTTTATTTTTAAGGAATTCTTAACCCATGCTATACTAAACTTTTAAGAGTAGTTATTTGAAAAATAAAAGTATACTTTCTTATGTAATATACAAAACTAAAAAAAATTATAAATGTGAAATCTTTTCTCAACGTGTACCTATTTTGCCTATATAAAGCGCCGTGTTATTGATTAAAATAAATGAGTACCGTACAAAATTACATGAACCTTTATTTTTATTAAAATAAGAAAGGTTACATAACACGGTACTACCTCATCTTATCAAAGATATATTCATGTTTTGAAATGGAGGGTGAAGTATGACTGCAGAGGGTAAGCATTTCTATTGACAAAACATATATAACACTGCTAATATTGAAGACTATTCTAGGTGTGAAATAACTGAGGCGACCCCAAGAATCCTTAAAGGTGCATGTTATATAGTTCTGTGCATGTCTATAACACACACTTATTTATATATGTATACGTAACATGTATGTATGTATGTATTGTAAAATTTAGATACTATAAGAGTAGGGAATAGAGAAACAAGGGGGAAGTCAACAACGGCAATGGTTGCGTCGAAAGAGAGTAGGTTTACTGACCCACGGCACCGTATTGATCACCGCCCCCTCAGCGTACAACCGCCAACCCTAAGGGGTGGTAACGACGTTGGTGATCTCCCTTATCATCGACATGAGTGGTCGCACGTCAACATGTATTGATCCTCCGCTTCTTAAACATCTCTACCATTTTCCTCTCATATTTCTTTATATGATATGTATATATTCAAAATGTGCATAATACTAATATATGCATTATAACTGTTAAATAACGTATGTTAAATATATAAGTCAATTTTGATGAAATTATACTTTACATACATCTAAAATATATTATATCTTATTCTTAATATCAAATATTTAATTATCTTGCATTATTCATTGTAGTATTAGAGTTTAAAAATATATATTTTTATAAATTATTTGAAATAATTCATAATAAATCTTATTTAGATATTTAAGACATGTAGGTGTTATAAAAACTTGAATAATTTTCATGTTAATAGTTGTTTAGTACCTATTTAGTAGTTAAAAACAACATTATTAATATTTTAGAAGTATAATAATTAAAAATCAAATAAAAAAAGCGATTTTATAAAAAATTTTTACGATTTCAAAAAAATCAAATAGTAAGTAGTTATAACTTTTTTAATATAATTACAGTATATTCTAATCATAAATTGATACAATGAAAAACTACATAATGTGGTAAACTTCTACGAAAAAAATAATGTTTAAAATTTCACAAATATTATCTTTTGTAATATATTTCTTATTTCCAAAAATTTATAAACGCAAGTCGTGACTGATCGTTAAAGTTTCCCTATAGCTACGCAAAGTCAATAATCCTCTTGTTCAAATAAAATAATTATTTAAAGCATTTATACGTCTTTAAACATATGTTTTTTTAATATCTAATATTAATATACTTCAATATTCAATTAATTATTTATTTTTAAATTTATTGTTATATCATACTGAAGATAAATATTTTAAATTAAAAACTTGTCAATAACTTAAGAAAACTAATTATAACTGTATTTGTTTACGTACTAAAAATAACTGCACATGTTTTCTACTGATGCATTATTTTTTTAGATATAATTATTTATGTATATTTGTAAAGACAAATTTGGGGCGTATGTATCCTTAGGCGTTAATATTTTTGGTGCATTTCTAACATATGAGTATCAAATAAAATTATAATTATTACTATGGAAAATGCATAAAAATTTATAAAAAATTATGACACTTATGTTTATTAGTCAATGTATTTTTATGTATGTCTTCTTCTACAGTATTCAATCTAATGATTGGTTTGCAACAACTTCCATGTTTCTCTATGACTAGCCTTCCTCTTCAACTCTTGATATGAATTACATCCTTGATCTTCTATTATCTGCCGTATGTATGAAATCTTCGTCTTCCTCTATTATTTTTTTCGTCGATTATTCCTTCTAAGATTAATAATAGTAACCCATCGTATATTAAAGTATGACCTATTAATTAATTATATCTATATAATCTTCCATATTAATTTCCTCTTATATACCCTTTCTAAAACTTCTTCATTATGAATTCTATCAGTCAACTTATCTTTTCCTTCCTCCTGTAGAACCACATTTCGAATGTTTCTACTCTTTTCATTTCTTCTCATGTAATAGTCCATGTTTCGCATCTATTTAACATGATGCTCCAGGTGTAAGTTTTTAGTAGATTCTTTCTAATATTAAGGTCAATGTTTTTTTTAATAAAAAGACTTCTTTTCTTATTAAATGCCAACTTAGCTTGGGATATTATCTCTATAATTTCCTTTTTGCATCTCCCCTCTGAACTTATAGTGCTACCCAAATATGAAGTCTTCTATTTGTTCTGCAGTGTCATCGTCTTTTAATTTTATTCTTGTTCTTATGTTATTGTCTCTACTACATACTAGGACTTTCGTCTTCATTATATTTATATATGTATACCTTGAATACATTTGGATGCTAAACGTAGTGCAAAATGCATTGATATAGTAATAAGATTTCATTATTTCAAAAATATATAAATTACTGTCGAAATTTTAGTCAAGTATACATGTTTATTTCTTTTTTACCTAAAGCGTAAAATTCCTAAATATATTTCTATATATTTGTAAGTAATTCAAGTAATTAACAATATATTTTAAACCCTATAAAAGAATGAAAATTAGTAACAGTAATATAAAACGGAAAAAATGACATAGTCATTACACAACAATGAATACTCATATGTTTAAAATGCGTCAAAAAATAGTTAACTATGTGTAAAATATAACACTAATGATTATTGATTAAAATTTATTAAGTTGTTCGTATATATAAATTAAACGACATGTCGATGTGTTACTTGACGGGTTGACATATTTTATAAAAATCGTAATATAGCATTTTTAAGAACTTAATTTTTTAAAACCTATCAATTTGAATTTTTAATTTTTATCTATTTTATTAAATAAAATAATTTACCCAATTCTACGGACATACGAAATAATCAAAGATATAATTAAAACCATAATTCTTAACACTAGAAATTACTCAAAACTAACAATTTATAAGCAATGACAATTCTAAATTTTTTTGGGTGGTAGTAGCTGTTGAATAGAAATTTCGGACTTTCAGAAAGAGGAGTACATAGAGGATGTACAGGGGTGCCACAGAAAAATGAATTAGGAGGTATAAAATTATTAACAATAGTTTAAGCCATG